ATGACTATATATAGACTAAGGAAACCCGGGCGAAGGCCGGGCAAAAGCGGGCCGAAGGCCCGCCCAAATGGGGTCTGGGGGCGAAGCCCTCAGGAATTTTTTAACCCCCCCCCCCCTTAGGAAAATTCTGGCTACGCCTCTGATCTACAAACTTTGAATCGTATCTTCTATTTGATTAATTTTGCCAAATTAAAAAAAAAAATTTATTTTGCCAGATTAAGAAAAAAAAATCTTTGCTGGGATTCGAACCTAAGTCCATCAGATTTGTAAGCGACGCTCTTATCGATTGGGCCACAGACACTTTTCCAAATTAACGATTTTTTAAATATATATTATAAATAATGAAAGTGTGACTGTCACAGTGTGACTGTCACAGTGTGACAAGGCTTTTATATATATTATAGATATTTACTTAGATTTTATAAAGAAATCTCTTTTACTTATTACGACCTTAAAAATATTTTTAGGAAGAGGCATGGTAATTAAATTTAAAAATGAGTAATATAGTTGATTAGTGATTTTGAACTCGGCTAAATTAAATTTGTTAATTTTCAAATAATAAATGATTATATTTATTTAATTAGGGTTATATAATAATTTAAATAATTAAAGTCAATTAAGCTTCACCTGTTAAAGCTAAATTAGTATTTAGTGAGTGATATTAATATTCTTTTTTTAACACAAAATTTGATTGCAAGCTGATATAGTGAAAATATAATTTATATGTATTAATCTAATCTAAGTAATAATTATTAAATATTATTCATATTATAAAAATTTAGATAGTCCATCCCAAATGGCGAAGATTTTTCCGGTTCATCTTTTGGAAGAATATAACCTAACAAATGAAATGGAATTTTGATGTCTATGGATTCAAATATTCTTAACTCATTCCTTATCATGAATATAACTATTCAAGATTAAAAAACAAATAAGAAATATATGTCTTTATTTTAATAATTTATAAATTACAAATACAATATCGGAAAGGGTAAGTTCCACTCATTCAGTTAAACTACAACGGGGTACAAGGTTTGTTGGTATCCTTGAGAAAAAAATCGGCATAATTTTATGAAGGGTGGGCCTTCATAAAATTCACGTTCGCTCATTTTGGGCAGGTCTATGACCAACGTGCTAGATAAGATAAGATAAGATAATTTCTAAATAATAAAATTAAATCTATATATTACTAGAATTATAAAATAAATCATTCAGGGGGCAATCAAAAAAATTTATTTTTAGTTCAAGAGGATATTAAGAAGCCATTAAAAAAAATTTTTTGCTTCAGGGGGCTATTTAAGTTTTTTAGGGGGCTCGAACCCCTACGCGCTCCTCCCTAGCGAAGAACTGGCCATTTTTTAAATAAATTTTATTTTAGTTTGATGCAAATTTTGTAAAAATAAAAATTATATAAAGAAGCAAAAAATTATAATCGGCATCTTTATATATATATATATTAAATTAATTAAAGTTTTTAGTCAATTATATTTTATCATCTTAAAGTAATTCATTCATTTATTTACCTAATTTCTTAATTGTTGATTAAACTTAAGTAATTCATTCGATCCTGTACTATGACTTTCAAAAGTGAAAATAAAGTAATTTTATTTTATATAAAGCTATAAAATATTTGTTTTATATAATTTGAAAAAAAAACTTTAAAAGTCTCTTCGATCCATTCCTTAACAGAATTTTAAAGTTCTCGGACTTAACTAAGTAGGAAAATCATTATATTCATACAGTGGAGGAATTTTTCATAATATTTCCAAATAATATATGAAGTGCATAGCAATGCCCTTTCGCAAATATAGCTATTTTTACATATTAATAACTTTAATTACTATTCTATTTATATGAATTATTTTAATATTATATTTAAAAATCAATTATATATATCTAAATTTATATATTCTTATAATATCTTATACTTTATATGTTACGTAAATACAATTTTGATTTAGGTTCTTCCAAAAATTTTGTCTTAAATTTAGATGGGGGTAGAGATTATATAAGCTAAATTTCAAGGATAAAATTAAAAAGGTTATATAAGCTATCACGGATATTAGTGTCTAAGATACATTTTAACTTCTCGAAAACACCTTGTAACATTTTTTTTAAGAATATCTATTTTGAATTCAAAAAGATTCATATACCATAAAAATTTTTATTACTTCATTTGATCTAATAGCATAATTTAATCTGTGTTCATAATTAATGAAGAAATCGCCTATCTAGTAATATAATACATTGTTTAAGGTTTAGATTGAAAAAAGTTGCCCATTATTTTTGTGGAATAAATAATTATTCTGAAAAATAATATCGGGATAATTTTTTATATGCTTCGACTTTATCTGTCAGAAGAAAACATTTAATGAAGATTTTGCAAATCATATTTTCCATTACTGCTAACAAGTTGTTTGCCAATACTTAATTCAAATTTAAAAAAAACATATCCAAATGGCCACACCAAATAATATAATAGAAAATAATTTTTTACGGTTAAAAAATTTGCAGATACAAATGATAACTCTCTCATAAGTATGCTTTACAATTGTGTTTGTCCAATCGACAACATACATATCTGAAATAAAAAAATTTAATCTCTACTTTATTCGTTAATCTGTTGAGTATTTTTGTACAACTTAGAGTTCTTGATTTTATGCACTTTTTAGCTTCCGTTTAAGCCTGCTGACACAAATAATTGTATAATTTAGTTAGATTCCATCATTATACGTTAAAAATGAAGATGAGATTATCACATTAGCCAATAATATTCATTACTACGAGTTTGATAATTTAATAGAATATTTGGAATATATTTAGTTTATAATCAAAGATTAATTTTTTACTTTGGCAAAATCTCAAAAATTGGCTGATATGATCCTGATCAGCGGAAAATAAAATATCAGAAATGTAATAAAATAGTAATAAAATTTCCAGCTAATATTTTATTATATAATATATGTTAAATATAAATAAAACTTTTTAAGATCATTAAAATTATTTAACCTTAAAAACAAATTTGTATTTTCTTACTTTGTTAATTTTTCTTTTTTTTACTTTGTGTTATATGTAAAAACCTTAAAATAAATTCGTTTTCTTTAACCTTAAAATAAATTCTTCCTAAATTTTGTAAAATTCTTCCTAAATTTTGTAAAATTCTTCTTTTCTTAAATTTTATAATGTAAATTAGTGATCTGCCCGGCCCGAACCCGAAATTTTTTTAAAAAGTTTTGCCGGCCCGGCCCAAACCCGAAATTTATTTTAAAAAGTTTTGCCGGCCGGCCCGGCCCCGAAATTTATTTTAAAAAAATTTACCGGCCCGGCCAGGCCCGAATTTATTTAAATATAGAAATTAATTTTTATAATTACTTAAAATAAAAGACATGTTATATAGCGAGTTTCAATAAAAAAAAATTTATTTTACATAAAAAATTCATTATAAAATTGATAAATTTAGATATATTTAATAAAATTTCCAAGGTCCGACCCGACCCGGCCCTAATTTTTTTAAAAATATTAGGCCCGGCCCGAAGCCCGTTCGGGCATGGCCGGGCCTAACTTTGCAGATCTCTAATGTAAATATCATATTATAAAAAATGTATATACAAGACAGATTTTTGTTAATAAAAAATAATAAAAAAGAAATTAAATCTATTTATCGTCGCCTTCCGTGTAGTTATCAATATATAAAAATAAATTTAAGATTTCTCAAAATTGAGATCTTATAAAATTTTATGATTATGGACATTTTTGGCGGGATTTTAAGATTTAAAATATTTAACAACACATTTGTGGTATATTTTATTTTGTTTTTTCCATCTTGACATAAATTTATTTAGCGAAACGGCGCAACCAAGAGCGATAGCAGGCCCAACAGAGCTCATAAGGCTTTATAACATTTAGAACATTAGTCATATCATTTGTGCACATTTTTTAATCTTGGAAAACATAATTTTTCTGGAACAATATTTCAGCATGTACAAGTGTAGAATATATACACTTCTGGAAAAATAAGTTCTTCAATAGTTAAAAAAATACGCCCTATAATTGATCTTGGTTTTAAGCCCTGAATTTACAAAGGCCATACCTTCGACATGTAGTTAAAAATGGATAAAGTTATTGTATGAAAACGAAGAGGATAATGAGTGATAAAATTTTGGCAATTTAATTTATATTCTTATAAATGCCAACTAGCTTAAACATTCTTATACTAAAGTAGAACGTATGTGTTTTAAAGTATTCTGAAAATGAAAAAAAACATTTAATAAGCAAGAAATGAAAGGAATAGCTATTGTTAAATTAAATATCCGATAAAAGTGACTTATTTTTTATGTATACTAATAGATAGCCCGTCAAAAATGACGAAGAATGAGAATTTAATTTGTTCTTTTACGATACGATAGATGTTACCTTTTATTTAAAAATCATATCCATTTTTTATTATTTTTACCGCCCCCCCCCTATTCAGGTCAAGTCCAACCCATGACCAAGAGTGAACGCTATTTTTTGAGTCAAAATATATTTAAATTAGCTTTTACCCCATATCAAAATTCTTTGTTATATTACTGATTACCTATGGCTAATATTTAATATTAAAAAAATCCCAAGTCAGGTCCAACAATAATTTAAAGAAAATTTCCTCAAGCCCGGTCAAAGACCTTAATAATTTTTACAGTTAGTTCAGAATTAAAATAAACTTTTAAAAAATCATAATGCTTATAAAATAGCAACTAGAATCAGTAAGGTCATTGGTTTTTTGATCAGGCCCTGCCCAGGCCTGCTAAAAAAATTTTTTAGGCCAATGTCTGGCCCATATTATATATTAAAAAATTTCCAAACGTCCGAGACCTTAATTATTTTTAAAAAAATTTCCCAAGCCCAGTCCAAACCATAATAATTTTGAAAATTTTTCCTCAATCCTGGTCCAACCCATAATAATTTTAAAAAAATTTTCCCAAGCCCGGTGATAGTTAAATTTCTAATTAATTTATTATCAAATGAAGGATAAATCTGGGACTTACCAGTTAGTCTACGGCTTAACTCCTTGTATTACAAAAAAAACACGTGAATATGTAATAAGGAAGACTGGTAAAGCCCCGGCAAACCACTTATTAGAGAATCATGAAAAAATCAGGTCTGTCCTAATATTTTTATAAAAATAACAAATCTTACCTCGTTTTATTAGAGATAACCCTAGAAAATTAAGTTATGGATAAAATATGGATTGAAATTGCGTCCACTGCAACAATTTTAACAAAATTGATTTTTTTTATAATGTTGAATGATTAATGTTTGCATCATTATTTGTTATCCATGAAATAAAAATAATGATTCTTATACTTTTTGTAATGTGATCAAATTAAAATTATATCTAGAAAATAAATTGTTGCTTATTACATTGGATTATTGTTGTTTTTCTGATAAATTTAGTGTATGCCTTGCTTTCCGAAATTATTTATCAAAGAATTTGATAAGGGATATATTTTTATGTTAAGTAACAAAAAATTCTAACTATTTAAATTATAAAAATGACATTCAATATTAATGAAACTTAATTGTAATTTATTTATATATTTTATAAGAAATTTGTTTTTCTTGTCAATTCATATAAATTTAGGCTAATTTTTTTAAAAAATGATGAGGATTAATTATTATTTTGTCTATCTGTTAAAATTTAAAGCAAATCCTTTTTAACATTTTAATTTTTGATGAAAAAGGCGACAAACTATCTAGGTGTTGTCTGGAGTCTGATGAGGAAATAATTCATGCATAATTTCATCCCATTTAGGGTTGCAGGTGAAAAATGATTAATGACGGCTTACCAAAGCAGCACAATAGCCATTGCATCCCGATAAAGCTGATGCATATGCTTTGAGCCACTGGTAAGAGAAGAACGCAAAATGATTCTTCTGCCAAAGTGTCAGCATTGGTATCCCCCTCTAAAATAGCGAGCGACATTGTTAACTCAACTTTAAAATGGTCGTATTTATGCTCGCATATATTACCAAAGGTTAGGTATTAATATGAGACTGCTACAATTTCACGACACAAATGAATCTCTTATCAATAATAATTACTCAAATTTGGTAAAGGCTATGAGACATTTGATGGCCCCGGGGATAAAAGAAAAATTCCTGAAGATTGTTTTATAGCTCCAATTCGAGGATCATTGCTTTTGTTTGCGATATAGACAAATACAATACTTCCTTTAACCGTACATCATTTGCTCAAAACGCCATCCTGACCTCTAAAAACTTAAATGCCGATTCCATAAATATTCAATTGATTAACAAAATTCCTGGGGATTTAATTATATATATAAGTGCTAATGACGATGAAGAAGCGACATTTTATCCCACTGAATTTTTAAACTCTTTAAATATATCAGGATTACCACCTCACAAACTTTCACTCAAAGTCGGGGTACCTATAATTTTAATGCGTAATTTAAACTCTGCTTCTGATTTGAGCAATGAGACTAATTATAACCTCTATTTAACCAAATATAATTGAGGCGGAATTTGTTTCTGGTAGCATTCTCAGAACTAAAGTTTTCATTCGTAGAATAAGTTTAATTCCAACTGATTCAGGCTCCCTTTGAGTGCCGCCAATTTTCCATGAGGCCTGATTTTGTCATGACAATAAGCAAAGTTGGCATCTATTTACCTCATTCTGTTTTTTTCACAAGGGCAGATATAAGTGGCTATGACTTGAGTTTGCTCTCCTCATAGTGTTGTTAAACGACTCGATTTGAACCGATTTTTAAAAACGGTTAACTCAATATATCATTCGGAAGAATATTACACAAGCCTAAATATTTTGCCCATAAATGGCACAAAGGTTTGGACATCTAATAGCGAAATCTCAAGGCATAGTCAATATTTTTCTGGTTAAATTATGGAGTTAGCAGTTTTTAAAAATCGTCTCAAATCGAGCCGTTTAAGAACACTACTCCTCATAAACTAAAGAATAATACCGCTATTACAGATGAGGTAGGATTATTGCCCTAACGTATATGAAACCTTGGAGTAGATTTTAGGTTTAAAGATATGTTAGGAAAGTCATTAGTGATCATAGAAGCTACTCTCATAAATTGAAAAGCAAAGGGGTCGTAGCTATGAATAATTTCCTGCAATTCTCGATCTAAAAAAGGAACCTGATTATGACAATTTTGTATTTCATTTTTACTATCATTATATATTTGGGCAAATTTAGGTGTGTCCCTTAAAGTTGGTAGGAGGGAACCAATGCGCTGGTAATGTCAATTAATTTGAAAGGTATTACCGGAGCGAGAATTGGATAAAGTATTATTTATATTAACTCCTAGTGAAGTGAATGATAGTGCAGAATTAAATCAATGCTCCCCGGTAACGTATTAAATTTGGAGAAGAGGAAAATATAGATAAAAATTTCTCATTCATGCAAGTTAAAAATTGAATTTTTTTATTTGAGCTTTTCTATAATTTTTCACCATTCGACATTTTAGCATTGCAGAAGGCGCATATTTCTGTCATGTTTCCGATATCTAACATAGGTTGGTGGTCATCAAATATATGTCGAAATATGCATGATAGAAGTGGAATAGGGATTGTGGCAGTAATGATAGAATTATCATTTGTAAACAACTGGGTGAATATAAAATAAACGTATAGATATAAAACCTTAATATCAGGCGCAGCTTCTTATTATCCTGGATACTAGTAACTCTAGAATGGGTCTTTGTTGATTCGCCATTTTTTTCAAGAGAAAGAAAATGGAAAGGCAAGAAGGGAAAAAAAAGAAGGGAAAAAAGGAGATGGAGTGAGAAAAAAAGGAAAGGAAATGGGATAATGGAAAGTGAAATAAAAAATAGAGAAAAAGAAAAAGTGAAAGATAAAAAAGGAAGTGAAAAGAAAAATGAAAAGGGAAAAGGAAAGAAAAAGTGGATAAAAAAGTGAAAGAAAAATGAAAAGAAAAACAGAAAGGAAAGAGGAAATGAAAGAAAAAGGAAGGTAATGAAAAAGAAAAGGTAAAATATGAAATGAAAAAGGGAAAGAAAAAGAAAAAGGGGGGAGAAGGGAAAAAAGGAAATGGGGTGAGAAAAAAGGGAAAGGAAACGGGAGTGAAATAAAAAACAGAGAAAAGGTAAAAGTGAAAGAAAAATGGAAAGAAAAAGGATAAGAAAAAGGATAAGAAAAAGGAAAAGAAAGAGCAAGGAAAAGAAAAAGCAAGGAAAAGAAAAAGCAAGGAAAAGAAAAAGCAAGGGGAAAAAAGGGGAAGGAGGAAAAAAAATGTAAAGGGGGGAAAAAGATAAAGGAAAAAAAGAAAGGGAAAGGAAAATGAGAAGAAAAAGAAAATGGGGAAGGAGCCGAAAGAGGAAAAGGTAAAGAGAAAGAAAATGAAAAGGCAATAGAAAGAGAAAGAAAAAGTAAAGGAAAATGGAAAGAAAAAGGGAAAAGGAAAGAAAAGGGGAGAAAGAAAGAAAGGGGAAAGCAAAAGGTTAAGGGAAAGAAAAAGGGAATAATGAAAGAAGGGGGGGGGGGTAGGATTGTTAAAAATTTTGATTTGGATCAATTTTAAAAAACCCAATTATTTTAGCCAAATTAATATGTAAGACTAAAGATTTTGCTTTGTCTAAAATATTAAGGGGGTCGTTTTTGTAAATAGACCAAAATCAGCATCTTAATAACCCTATAAAAATTGAAAGGTAAAGAAAAAAAGGGAGAAAAGGAAAGTGAAAGGGAAAAGAAAAGAGGAAGAAAAGGCAAAGAATGAATAGAACTTATTATTATTATTATTGAAATAAAACCTGTATAAAAGTCAGCTAGTATTAATACCCTTTAGAGAGCATATCCAGTCCACTGTTTGGAAATTTAAACCTATTGTCTAGTATAACTATCATGTGAGATCGAGGTCTAAATGGATAATAAATGTTTAAATAAATATTGTGTTCATATAAATATATATTATCAATAAAATATAAATAATAGTAATACAAATAAATTATTTTTTAACTATATTTAAAAGAGCAGTTTTTATATATGTATTATTTTTATTTTTTGATATCAAAATAGATATATATAATTTGTTTCAATATTATATAATTTACTAGCACACTAATTTAGAATAGAATGATTTGAATAAATAAATAATAAAAATAAATAAATACGTAGCGATGACATGACATGACATCACGATGACGTAGTGATGATATCGGAAAATTTGAGTGTACATTATTACATTGATTTTGTTATCTAAAGCAAATTATTCGTTATTCGATAAGTATTTTAATTTTACGAATATAAATAAGGGAAAAAAATATCATCTGTCGAATGACTTATTATCTATTATTCTTTGTATAATTTAACATTTACAAGTATTAATAGAAATAATTTCCAAATATTCAAAACTATTCGTAAATATTCAAAACTATTCATAAATATTCAAAACTATTCGTAAATATTCAAAATTATTTGTAAATATTATTGTTGTAAAGTAACATCAAAAGTAACGTCGTTATTAACGGCCTTACCTTTTTTAAAGAAAAGGAATGCCATAAGTTACCTTCTTCTAGAGGTAACGAGTAACGGTAACGCGTTTTTTTGAGTGCGGGGCCCCCTAGCGCAAAAGCGCCAGAGGACCCCGTGACCACGCCGGGCCATCTTTTATTTTATTATTATTATAATAACAAGGTAATACTTTTATTTTTTCCTTAATAAATATGGAAAAAAATATTTGTTTTATAAAATTATTTTTATTTAAAATTTATAAATAATTTAAGCCGAGTTTTTAAGTGAGATCAAATGATAACAAGTCGTTCATATATATTTTAAGGTTAGTGTTAATTAAAAAATATAATATATTAATCATATGTTCATTATAAACCTTGATCTTTACTGGCCAAATTGATATCTGGGTTAAGTCATATTGTATGATGAGTATTTATAAATTTATCAATCAGTGTTACCAGTCAAGTTATAAGCTAAACAAAAATAATAACGTTATTCATTAAGCTGTCTTTATCGAATTTTGAATGATGATTCAAAAATAAATTATGTCTAAGTGAAAAAAGGGAAAAAATATATCTAATTCATAGTTAAAGTCACTTTGTTTCAAGTCTTAGTCCGGTTGAGGGGATTGGAAGGGTAAAATATTTATAACATAAAATTATCACATAGGTATTATATGAAAGCTAATAAAAGAAGGTGTTTACATTGTTACTATATTTAAGTAATGGCTAAATTTCGGGTAATTCAGCTCAATCTCCAGATGCCTGCCGGTGAAAATCCATTAACATTAAGGAGTAATAATTTATATTAGCTTCTTCTAAATTTGAGCTGCTATCTTTTTAAGAAAAATTCCGAGGCCAAGGTGATAGTTTTAGACAAAAAACAGCCGATTTTGTAGTCGGCTAAAAATTTGTTTAACGGTTAAAAATATAATAAGTACCCGACTAACTCATCTCTGCAAGCCAAATTTTTATAAATATACCCGGATCTGGAAGGACCTAAAAAAATTTTTTTCAATACTCGGGCCAGGCCTGAAATTTTTTTTTTTAAAAAACCCTGGTTGGGCCGTATATTTTAAAACCCAATAATTTAAATTGCTATTATCAGTTATAAAAAAATGAATGTGATATATTTTTAAAAAATCTGGGCCGGGCAGAATAATATTTTTTAAAAAAAAATCTGAGCCGGGCAGTGCAAATGGTATCTTTACAGGTCTCTGGTTTGTAGGGTAAATCTGGTGGAGAAAACATAATATCTCGGCATGAATATCAAAATAAAAATATCTTTCAATTGTTTTGTTAATAATCTCCATCACTATAAATGAGAGACCTGCAGAGATACCATTTGCACTGCCCAGCCGGGATATTTTTAAAATTATTACAATTATTTTTAATTTTTATAGCTAATAATCACGATTTAAAATATTTGGTTGTAAAAGATACTGCCCGGTCCGTATATCCTTTAAAAAAAATTTTTAGGCCCGGCCTGGCCCGGGTATATTTAAAAAAATAAAATACAACTGGATTTAGGGCCGGGCCTACAGGTCTCTGCTACAAACATGATGAGGATCAAATTTTAAAAGCATTTTTAAAATATATATCTTCGCAGAAAGGGGGTGAGGGGCTAATGAAAACCTCTTTAAACATTTTAAACATGGGCATCAAGTAACAGATTTATGAAGTAATTGTTAAAAATTGCTCTAGGTGGGTTATAATACATTTTGATATAGGTTTTATTAAAATTTAAATTATTTAAAAAATAATAAAAATAGCTAGTAAAAATAAATAAATAATTAACTTACTAATATTTAAAAATTGACAATTTTGATAAATTATAACCATTAAAAAGGTATTGCTTTTTAAAAATCGTCTGACTGGTGTCATTCCCTGTCTTATAAATAATAAATAGTTTTGCCATCTTAGCCTTTAGAATTTATTTTTTCAGCCTGGATAAAGATGCCTCAAGACATATTACAGATGTCTTTACCAAAATATTTTTAAATTCCGCATAAAACTTTAAAAAAAATGGTAAGATAAAAATAAAGAAATTCATAATCATTCGGAAAATCCAATCGTATTGGAGACCAAAAAAATAATTAATTCAATAAGAATGAAGCTTTGAATAATACTATGGAAACTCCAAACTTTATCTTGGCAAAACACGTATCCCAATTAAGTGATTCAATTTCAATGGCACTACCTTATCTCATGCAGCGTATAATACACCGAACACGGAGTTCAAATAGTTTATCACCTCCTAATACTATCAATCTTTTCAAGTTAAAACCCCGAATGAATATTCTATCACTAATAAGTATGAGGATTTTATACTGTGATATTCGTGAAACAATGAAGAATTTTATTATATCAATATCATTAATTTTATCAGTGTATATATCTTTCACTAAATAATTTTAATAATATAAATAAATAACACTTTATCATATAACCCATTAAATTACTGTTAATTTATATTTAATTGATTTTATTACACATAAAAAACAATTAAACCGTTTACCTAGCGTCCCTATATCGGTACTTCTTTATTTCCTTGATCTGGAATTTATTTTTTTATACTTATTTTCAAAAAAACCCTTAGGCCGTGTCATAAGTCGGCTTGATTTGGATACTTAATTGCTTTTTAGTATAGGCTAAAAAGTACTTGATCGAAGACACCCTATTTTGGTTTATTTTAAGTATTTGATAGCATTCCTATTTTTCGTATCCTATTCCCGTTTTTTTGTTTTTTGATTCTTTCTTTTTTATCTATTTTCTTCTGTTTTTTTCGTTTTTTTAAAAAAAAATTCGGCCTTTTTAGCCGACTTTGAAGTATCGGTGATATAGCCTAAAAAGCAAAAGAAAAAATTTAAAAAAGAAAAGTAAGAAAAACAAAAAAACGAGATTAAATACGAAAAACAGCAATGGCACCAAATACTTAAAATAAACCAAAATAGGGTGTCCACGATCAAATACTTTTTAGCCTATTCTAAAAAGCAATTAAGTATCCAAATTAAGCCGTCTCAGGAAATGGCCTTATTCATTTTAATTTTATTTTAATAGAAAAAATGAGTAAAAGTGCTAACAAATTGAGAGAAGCGTTTAGCGTTGTTTTACTTAAATACGCTGTTAATTAAGTTGAACTGGTATTTATTTTAAAAAATGAGGAAAAACAAAATATTTCTTGCTTACTTCGGCTGAAAGGAAGTCAGACTATATGATAAAATAGTTTGTTTTCATATTCATTTGCGTTAAAATTTAATCATTCATGGTCATACAGTAAAACACCGGAAACACGAACAAGTATAAAATCAATTATATTTTAAAATTTATTACTATATTATTAATTATTTATAAAGTATAAATCTTATAATTATTTATATAATATTTATATAGCTACTATAAGAGAATAAAGATGTAAAGAGGATTGTAGAGATGAAGGATAACAGGAAGTTATAATATCAGACAACCATATATGAATTACATGGAGAAAGAGTTATATTAATGAAATATATAAAATCATAAAAAACTAAAACAATTATAAACTGGAGATCAAATGATTTATTTTCATAATTTTCCTAATACTCTCCTTCTTCATAAACAATTATAAATTTATCTAATCCAATAGAATATTTTGAATTTTTTTGATTAATTATTACTATGCAGTTATTTTTATTTATTAAAATATGGAAAGAAGACAAAGGGGATTCAAAATCTTTAAATGAATTATAGAGTTACTATTATATCAGAAAGTTATATCGATGCATTATGTAAAAATAATTGGGATGCATATAAAAAATGTGGTGTTACCTGTGCGGCGAAGCCTCAATTATCAGCGTTCAGTGGAGGGCCGATTTCGCCGCCGCCTAATAAATTAGCGACGGCCGCGGCGAGCTATTTATTATAAAAATTTAAATGAATTTAAATAAATTTAATTTATTTTTTTTATAATTTATTTGGGCACTCTTAGTTCTAACATTGTAAATATAATTTAATTCATTTCTTAAATAATTTTTTGTCTCATTCCTATTTAAATGTCTCATTCTCAGAAATAGATTAAGGAATTACATTTTTACTCAGATCACAATAAACAGCGCATTAGTAATATTCTATTGATTTTTATTAAAATAATAATTTAGAATACAAGCAAAATATAAAATAAGAAATATAATAAATTAGAAATCAGATTTAGTAAAATTATAATTGTCATGAATAAATAGTATTTTATCGAGATACGTGGGACATAAAGAAATCTTTTTTACATTGAATATTAATCCAGCAAGGAAAAAATTATTCATTTAGGTATACTGGGTGCAGATATGCAAAGAACTTTAGTTAAATTAGCAAGCCTAGGAAGTTCCAGTTGATTTTCCCCCCAAAAAGTTACATTATCTTCTGGTATACTATATTGGCTGGGCAAAATATGGCATTCTTGCTCTATATTGCTAATTTTGTCATAATCGTTGCCTAGAACGGAATGTTTCCGAGCTATTTTACCTATATATGAATTGAATGTCAGAGACCTGCAGGCCCAACTCTAAACCCAGCCCGGGTACACGGGCCGGGCCGTATTTTAATTTTTTTTAATACCCGGGCTTGGCCTAAAAAATTTTTAAAATTTTTGTTTAAAAATGTACCCGGGCCGGATTTGACAGAGCTAAAATATTCTAGAACCAGGGCAAGGAACTTTAATGGATGCCTCTAGAGAGGGCTGGCAAGTAGGTCAATTGACCAAAAAAGTATTTGATCTCTCAAATACAGTCAAATACTTTAAAATGTTATTGGTGAATAAATATATTGATTTAATTAACTAATATGTATTTAAAGCATGTTTATCAATCTAATTAGGCTACAATTTATTTTAAAATATATTTGTCATCAAGGCATTGATTTAATTATAATTTTATATTAAAACATAAGATTTTCATATTAAAATATAAAAATAAAAGAATTTTCCTCATTATTAATTTGATTGGATCTCAATATATAAATCAGAGATGCAAAGGTACCATTTGCACAGCCCAGCCCGGCCCTGATTTTATATTTTCAGGCCCGGTCCGGCTTTTTAAAAAAAAAATTCGGATTTTTTAAAAATATATTATATTTATTTATGATTTTTATAGCTAATAATGGCGATTTCAAATATTTGGTTTTAAAATTTTTCAAAAAAAAAATTCGGGTATATATAAAAAAATTAAAATACGGCCCTGCCTGGGTACCCGAGCCGGGCATAGGGCCGGGCCTGCAGGTTTCTGATAAATAAATATAATAATTTTCCTCATGGTTTGAGAAAATTGCTAATTGTCAATTTATATTACATTATGTATAATTATCCAAACAAGATGGGCATCGTCAATGAAATGTAAGGAGCAAATATAAAACTAGAAGAAAGCTCTGAAAGCAGCTGTTGAAGAATTTGAATATTTGTCCGAAGGAATGCCAAATATATTATAAGAAGAAAAATTTTGTAAACCTTCCAATTAATGAAGGGGAAAGTAATGTAGGTATATATTGTAATATACTATATATACATTATGAATTATTATATTCGTCAATTAGATATGGTTATAATGATTATATATAAATTTATGTATATATTATTGGGTGAAGGTTAACAAAACCTAATACCTATAGCATGTAATAAATGTCAGCATTAAAAAGCCCTTTATCAAGATGTAGAAGTCCGCAAATACATATGCTCAATAGTAGTTTATTCACAAAATGAAGAGATTATAAAAGTTCTTCAAGAACATGGGGGATCGGAAAAGTATTATAAATTATAGACTTTACGATTCTTGAGGATCTTGTCAATATTCTTGGAAATTTTTAAAGAGCTATTGTTGAGTTACAGTCGGACTCTTGCACTTTTTTTAAAGTGGTAATTTCATATTATGAACTTCTTGAAGTTTGTAATACCTATCAAAGCGATAAAAGAGAGATAAAATTGATTCCACTTAATATAAAGCATTTTTTAATTGAAAAATTTGTTTATCGCAAGATAACGGAAAACTATATAAAAGACTATATTAAATTACAAGAGGCTCAGGAAGTTAATGAATTACCACCGATCAGTCGAATTACGAATGTTTTTAAACAAACTCAATTGTTCGACAAATGAGGCCTGGTAATTCTGATAATGTTAATACCCGATGATGAATTTAATAATTACCTAAAAAAATAGATCAAGCATTTAAGGTGGATAATTTGTTAGAGGGGTTGCGGCTCATCAAAGCCAATTTTCAATTTTGGCGAAATTAGCAAAACGGGTATTGTCAATTCCTACTTCAACTGTGGTGGAATTTTTCCACAACTGGGAGAATTCTTGATAAAGAAGAAGTAATCTTCAACCTGAAAAGGTAGACATGCTTCTCTTTCTTCATGATAATTTGTAAATTTTTTATATCTTTCTTGAGTATAGTGTTTCGTCATTCCTGTTGGTTTTTTACTTTGCAAACTAATATTTATTGCATTTGTTATTTTCCAACATTTTTCATTATTTCTTTTTTACCATATAATATAATACAATTATTTTCTTTTGTTAAATTTATATCATAAAATAATTATATATTGTACAAATAGATTATATTCTCAAAATACTATTTACTACATACATGCATTTTTTGAAATAGATATTTATTTTTATTTTAGGTAACTCACTGTAACTCGAAGAAATTTTTAAAATTATTATTTTTTTTAAATATTTTTTATTTATTTATTTTTTTAATATTTTTGCAGCATAAAAATTGACATTTCTTGTCCTCCGACCATTAAATTGAAGCGAAGCTAGAGGGTTAGTGGAATCTTATTGTTGCATCAGCCATTTATCTATCCATGAATCCGCCAATGGATTTTCTCAACGATTGATTGACCTGGATCATAGCATATGAAGTGCGAATAAAATACAAGTTCATCATTGAAAGCGAATTAACTATAAAAATTCTATTCCACTATATTCAAAACACAAAAACTTTACACTAATTATTTTATTTTACTCCTTTATTTATTTATATACCTTATATTTCTAGCCCATAAAAATTTAACTAATGATTTACCTGTATCATAGCATATGGAGTTCGAATGTAATGCGTGCTCATCATTAAAACAAATTAACTATAAAATTATAATCTACTATAATTTTTTAAATAAAAATTTTCCAAACACCTAATTATTTTATTTTACTCCTTCATATATCTTTTTATTTCTATCCTCTTTTCATTTAAAAAAAAGAATTATGCAACCATTAATCACAACTTCCACACATAAATTTAATTCTAAACCCAATTAATGTTTAACCTATTTACTGATTTCTTTTTCAAAAAAAAATTAACCTCGATTCCAAAAATACTTCTTACTTATTCACTGTTGAACAGGGACGGACTGGCCAGTAAGCTTAGTAGTAAATCTCCCACGGGGCCGAGATTTTACAAATTTGGGGGCCTCTCCTTAGTAAATTACAAATTTGGGGGCCTCCTTAGTAAAGAAAAAAAGAATTTTTTTTAAATTAAATTGGCATAAAATCTAAATATGTTTTAATACAAATTTTTTTTTAAATATTAGAAATTTAAATAATAATTTAATTATCTGGTGGAATTATAAGCACTATAAAAAAATATTCATTCATTTTATTTAAAGTTTAAGTTTATATACACATTATTATTAAATGAATCTAAATGAAAATAATAACAACACAAGTAAAACCAAACCCCATAAAAATAATTTATGATTTTTTCATATTTTATTTATTTATCTTAAGTTAAAATGAATTTAACTATTTTAACTCAGAAAGAAGTATAAGTATTAAGAAAATTTATGCCCCCCCCCTATTTCCCAACTAAAATACATATTTATTTCACAATCATAATTCAATGTAAATGTTTAAGGATTTTAGAATGGAATCTTTACCTAAAATTAATGATTATCAATGATCCTATCATTCAAATAACATCAACATTTTATCTGTCATAGATCATTAAATATAAAGGAAAAACATATAGATAACCTTGATAGCTATTTTATTAAATATAAATTTTAAATTAAAATCTATATTCTTTATATTATCATATATAAAAATATATAATAAAAAAAAGAAAATACTAAATTGGAGGAGAAAATATTCATGATAAATCTTGTAAAGAACTTAAGATAGCTGGTGAAAATCCAAAACAGCAAAAGTTGTCTTTTTCAATATAACAACTACAAATTTATCAAAAACATCTTCATTTCTTGAAACTTCTTTAGACTCTCCTTTATGCTCCAAAAGGAAATAATACAAAGTTGCCTGACATTGTAATTCGTACCATAAAAAGTCCACATAAATCACATATAAAAAAAAATCATCCATTTTTATGTTTATTACAAGTATTTTCACCCATTATAAATTTTGGCTCATGTTCTAATATAACATCTGATTTTTCTCATGCTCTAACCATAAATTTAAAGAAATTAGCATATTTAACATGCTCAGAGACTCTAGATTCTTCTTTACTTTTACATGATAATACAATTTTATCAAATATTCTAATATCATTTCCTTCAAATGATAATAGCATACCTATTCTATCCCTAACTTTAAAGAAACTTCATCTTTATCTGCATTACAAATACCTACATCCATAAATTCTAATCGAATATCTGGCTTTTCATGCACAGAAGCAGCAAATTTAAAGAAAAAGATCTCACCTATTAAGTCAAATTTATTTCATTTAAATTTAAATTCAAATGCAACAATTCCACAAAAACTTGCCTTTTTACAGAAATATCCAATCCGTGGACCTGAGACTAAATACATCGCGTTTGTATTATAGAGTAGCTATGGAAGATAAAGTACCACGAAATTGGCTTTCAGTTGCTATAATTAATCATAAAATTAAAGCTATTTACTGCTCAATTTGTATAGCTTTTGCTAAATTTATTTTCAAAAGAATGCACCAATTTTAAAATATATATTCTGCTGTTGAAATTCATGAAAATTCAACTGTTCATATCCAAGCAGTGGAATACCAGTGATAACAGAATACAAGATAATAATAAACTTATAGTTGGAAAATCAAAGCAGATTTCAAGTAAAACTCGTATAATAAAACATATATTTGAAATTATAAAGCTATTAGGGTGTCAATATGCCACACTGAGGTTCTGATTTAATGAAACCTTATCAAATTTTGAAGATATAAGTTTAAATCATGGAAATTTCCTAGAACTGATACGTCACCTAATTATGATATAATCCTGAATGATCATTTAATTAGAGCCATTCAAAGAAGCAAACATAGGAAGGAAAAACTTAAACTCTCAGGCAAGTTGCATTCCAAAGGAATAGGTTCCTTAATTAACTTATTATCCAAAACGACCGTTAGCAAATTTATTGATGCAATTCTATACACGCTTAGAAAGCGAATTAAGGAACAATTAGGTATTAAAAGATTCAGCATAGAGATGAACAGCACTCCGGATATAAGCATCAGTGGCCCCTACCAATAGAAGGGGTCAGAAGCAACTGCTTCTAAAAATTTGAGTGGGGGGGGGGGTACTTAAAATTTTTTTTTTTTTTAAATTTAATTCTATTATTGTTTTATTACACCTATCCATAACGTGGTAATTTCTGGTTTATGATGTCGAACTCGACCTCGGGATACCCTTAATTATTAAATTAAATAATAAGGGAGGGGGGTCTTATTATTATATTTTAATAATCAAATTCAATTGGCAAAAGATTGCCTGATTAATTTGAGATGTACAATTTAAATTATTGTCTTTTTATTTTTTAATCCTAATAGATAATAACACTGAATTTTAAGATGTTTTTTCAACACAAGATTTTATGAAGGAGAGAAATCTACCTTTTATTTTGAGAGTTATAGACTTCCAACATTACAATCCAAAAATAAGCGGTATATATACTTTCATCAGTTTAATGAAAGATTTAATAATGAATCAATGAATATTTTAAATCAAACTTCATTTTTTACACCAAAGGGGATGGCGGAAAAGTCAATCGTTAAAGATGATATCGAGGATATCTGTGAATTTTACCATTTTCAAGTCAAATTTTTGAAGAAGTTTTGAAATATTTATAAGATGGCTAAAACGGTGATGTAATTATTACACGTGACCCAGAGGTTAAAGAATCTAAAGATTTATCCGATTCTGAGAATTGAAAAATTTATTCAATTAAAATATTTATTATATACTAATACATTATTTAGCTTCTTTTTCCGATGATGATAATTCTAAAACTTATGATTCAGATTGGAAAAACTATTCCTTTATTTTACCTTATCTACTTTTAAATATTTCTACTTTTCCCTAATTTAACAATTTTATTATTTATTTACCAATCCTACTACCTCATGTACTGCCGAAAGGGTCATGAGTAAAATTAAATTAATTAAAACAAGATTTCGTAGTACCA